GCAAATTTTCTACAATTAAGAAAAAATTATAGTCACCTTTTCCTGTGAATTTTCAAAAATATCAGCAAATTTTCTTTCAGGCAGGGCAGTGAGGTAGGGGTGGGTAGTTGGGCATGAATTAAGAAAAAATTATAGTCACCTTTTCTTGTGAATTTTCAAAAATATCATCAAATTTTCTTTCAGGCAGGGCAGTGAGGTAGAGGTGGGTAGTTGGGCATGAATTAATTAAAAGTAGCTAGTCATAGTTTTAGAAAAAACTAATCATTTGTTGTTTCCTAAAAGTGTATAAGAGCATATCCAATGTAAAATGTGAACATTACACATGAGGCATGAAAAATATAGACACATGAAAAATTAATAAACATAACATTTTTTCTTATTCAAACAGCTTTTCTTTTTCTTTTTTCTGTAATGTTTTCTCCGCAATGTCAAGTACCACGACTAGTTGTAAACATTGTGGTTGATATGGTTAATAAAGATGTAATTTAAAATATAGAGCACCGTAGAAGGAAAGATAGAAAATTTCATTGATTTAATTTTATATGTCTATCTCGGTCAGTCATGTCATGTATTCACCATGTAAGTTGTTGAATTGTAGATATTGTAAGCCTCTAAATGATATTTATTGACATTCTTTAGGAAATGGTCACAACATACCAATTATAACAAGTAAATGTTATACTTTGTATTATACAGAAATACCCAATAATTGAGGCAATAGGACATGAATGAATACACCTTTTAAATTATGTCCAAGAATATATACACGTTTTTAATTTTGGGGGGATCGAACTTCTAGTGCCTCATATAGTACTCACATTGAAAATGTAATTCTCATGTTTTCAAGTGTGTAAAGGTCACTCTCAATTGTCCGAATTGTTGTAAATGTAATTCAGCTCTTGTTGTAAATGTCTCTCTCAAGTGTTAGACAATTCAGATTATGTAATTCAACTCTTATTGTTGTAAATGTAATTCAGCATCTCCAATGTAAATGCCAAATCTGTTAAATTTTGACTAACAATAACAACGTTTAATATAACTTGTGTTTAATATAACATGTATCGTATGGTAAAACTATTTGTTCACATAATCTAATTGTAAAAGAAATCATGAACATAGTAAGATCTTTTTTGGTATTGTTGTAGCTTTTATATGACAAATAATAATTAGAATCCATGAAAAGATTGAGGACATTCATATTGTAACAGAATTCATTGAACTCCGAATTGAGAACACCTAGATTTTGATGGAATTCTAAAAAACTTTGAAATCTATTAAAATCCATATCGGGGACATCCCATAAAGTCGTTTTAACATTATTCTTTCTTTATTTGATTGTCATAGCTTAACGAGGTTTTATTCACAGCTTAACACCATGTTAGCAGTAAACCAAACTGGTCCTAAGAGTGTTTGTGAAAACTAGAAAGACTAAATTATTTGAATAACTATTTATATTTATAATTGAAATTTTCGTAATAGATTATAACCATAATCAATTTTGACTTGGTAAGACTTTGCTGAAATGTGTTTATGAACTAATTAGTTTTTTTGGTGTAAAAAAACTATTTACTCTTCTTGAGTACGATATGTACCTAGCTAGGGGGGTCTGTTGCTAAAAAAATTTGAGTTAATTCCCTATCTAGGAGTAAAATATAACAAAAGTGCAAAAGTAGGAGTTAAGTAATCCGTATAGTTTCATAGGAGTAAAACAGAGATGAGTTGTCAAATCTACCCTTAATGAATACTCTATTTATTAAAAATAAAAAATACAACAATAAACTGAAACCTCTATAATTGTCTATTTCCCTCACACCCACCCCAATAGCAAGTTGTCCGCAGTACCATCCAGCACAGCCGTCTCCAGTTGCCGCCGACCAAGCCATTGCCGCCAATCGCCATCGGACTTCGCCGCCGGACATTGCCGCCGGACTTCGCCGAAGCTGCAAACTCAATTGTTGCCGCTGCCACTGCCGACATTACAGTTGCCATGTTCTTCTGCCGCTAGTCACCGCCATTACTGCCGCTCATTGACGCCACCATTTGCACCACCACCACCTGATTTGTGTCACTGCTTCCTCATTTAATTTGGCACCATACATGTTGTAGCATCACCAGATCTAGAAACCGTGTTTTCAAATATCATCTAAAAACATTTAACTACTCCGTATCATTTTTAATGAGATTTATATAAAATAGAGGATATGAATTTTAGTGTCATTTTAACATTTTCATGGCATTATAAATATTGAATTCATAAAAAAATAATATTGTCATCTCTATGGAATCGGTGTCAATGTGTCATACAAATGTCAATGTGCAGAAATAACATTTTTATATATGAAAAAGGATGATATTATTAGCATTGTTTTTGTCATATATTGCCATAAAAATGGCACTAAATGTCAAAATAATATTTTCAGCGTAGAAAAATATGCCATGGAAAAACATGACATTATTAGCATTGTTTTTGTCATATATTGCCATAAAAATGGCACTAAATGTCAAAATAATATTTTCAACATGGCATTATTAGACCTGTACTTGCATAGGAGTGACATTTTCATTTTAATACCATAAAGTTTCCATTTGGTCTTCTAATCATATAATTAAATTGAAGAATGTAAAAAATTTATTAACCTAATTTTAAAGATAAAATGAAAAGTTAAAAGAACAAAATACTCCAGTATGAAATAATAATTGAAAGATAAAAAGAAAAAGTAAAAAAAAAGTTTGACCGATTGGATTTGTAAACAAAAAAGATAGAAACCCAAAATAAAAAAAAGTGTGAGAAAAATTAAAAGAGAAAAAGGAGAAAGTAAAAGAAAGGCTTGATTGATTGATGAATCTGTAAATAAAAAGAAAGAAAACCTAAAATTAATTCAAAAGTTGGTTATACCAACATAGCAGGTTCAATTAAAGGAAATACATGCTCTTACAATCGCCGAGCAAAACAAAAAGTGGGAGAAGAAGGGAAGAAAAGAAGGAGAGAAGAGAAGAAGAGGAAAACCAAACCTTATCTCACCGTTCTGCCAGTGACCGGAGTTGAAGATAAAAATCACAATCCATTTTTGTTATCTGCTAGAGATTGAGATATTGAAGAGAAGGTGTGGAGATGGATGAGTGCTAGAGCACAAATCTGGAGGACGGTGTGGGGAAAGGAAAGAGGAGAGGAAAAAGAAGAGAGAGCAGTACGAAGAGTGGGTGCGATCGAGACAGATAAGAGGTTAAAAGCCTGTCAAAGAAAAATAATTAAAGCTAACGGTAAAATTGAAATAGAATCGACCGAGTAAATTTAAAACTCCTATTCTGGGAATAAATCAATAAGAAGTCTTATTTTGGAACATATTTTTTGTTTTAGTCCTACTTAGATCAATTACTTAATCTAAAAATATACTCCGGACCTGTTTGGTGACAGCTGCATTGGTTGGAATGGCTGAAAAGCCTGAAAAGACTTAATTTTCTGAAATGAAAGTGTTTGGTAATATATTGGCTGAAATGGTTGATTGTGTGTAAAATTACTATAAAGGGTATTAGCTTATTTGTGTTAAATATATGGGTGTGAATTGTACTAATAAACTACTTTTACTTGATTAGCTAATTATAAGCCTATTTAAATAATTGATTACTTGGGAATTTCATTCTTACTCTTACGTCGATTTTTTTATACAACTACTTTCAAAAACATGCGTATTTTCGAATGAGCGGCATTAGTAGTACTTTTGTGACTAATATGAGTAAATTAACTTATTTGTGTTGAATATATGAATGTGAACTTTGCTAGCACATTATTTTTGCACGATTGGGTTCTTATAAGATTACTTAATTAACGGATTACGTACTTTGAAAAATTGGCTCTTACCATAAGGAGCATTAGGTTGTTATATGTCCTACACTGCTACTGCCTACTGCATGCTCACCAAATCTATACAAGCTAACAAGAAATATGAAATGAAGAGCATTAAAAACAATCAGCCCAATTTATTACAATATAAAAACAAAAACAAAAAATGGACCATCTTATATTTGAGACCAATTATGCTTGCTGCTCTTATAATTAGGGGTGGACTCGGGTCCGGGCCGGGTCCGGGTCGGGCCTAGGCCCGGGCGGGTCGGCGGTTCAAGAATGGTGGACCCAGGACCGGACCGGGTAGCCACCGGGTCCGGGCCGGGCCTCCGGTTTGGATTTTATTTTTTTTTTGCTTTCCTAACCCCCCACCCTCCCAAACCCCCCCAAACCCATCTTACCCATCAAGCCCAACCCGGGTGGAACCCCAAAAATGAAAAAAAAAATTAAAAAAAAATCAATTTGGCCCGGGCCCGACCCGGTCAGGCCGGTTCACCAAATTTGAGACCCGAGTCCGGACCCGCCCTACCCCCCGGGCCTAGGCCCGACCCAGACCCCGACCCGAGAACCGGGCCGGTCCCGGTCCCACACAGTAGCGGGCCGGGCCGGTCCACGGGCCGGATGGCCCGACCCTAGTCCAACCATACTTATAATCCAATGATCGGTCTCCGCAAATAATGGGTTTTCTAAGCATGAAGGTGTATTCCAGGAAGTATCAAGTACACAGAAAGAAGCCAGGAAGGGTTAAATGAGTCTTTGCAAGTTGCAACCAACAACGTTCAAATAATAAATATCAGCTGAAAAAGTAACTTTAGACTTGTTTTTTCAGTTGATAAGAAAAACCAGCCAAAGCAACCCAATTGATAAGTGTTGGGCTATTTTTATGCACTTTCAGGCTTATAAGCCCATTTTTTATGCTCCAAACGGCCTCTCCACTTATATTTATTTGAAAATATATCCTACCATAACCTGAGTACAATTTCAGGTTCAAGGAAGCAGTTTTTCTTCTCAAAAGAGAGAATATTAGTATAGATTTCCATCGCTGAGCGTTAAAGCTTCAAAAGAATGAAAGACGCAGCTTTCTTCATCTTATGAACTAAAAGAGAATGTATGAATAGGTTTATAAACCAACGAAAAAATAAAAACGCATTAAGTACGACTGTGCATCCAAAATGATTTATATATTTCGAAAAAAGAAAAATGTAAAACCAAAAAAACGGTGAAAAAATATAGTACTCTGAAAGAAGTTGGAACTTGGAACTCAAATGAATTCATGCATACCTGCCCAAGCTGCCCTTTCGAACTACACATTATTTCTACTGATAAAACAAATTTCCTATTTGTTAAATAAAAAGACAAACATTGGAGTTTCCAAGTTGAGCACAACCAACCCATTGCATTATTATTCCTAAGATTCCTGAGAAACAAATGTAAGAAGTGCACATTCACGCGCTCTTGGAGGACGGTTCAGAAGAAGCACTGGTAGAATCGCTCCCAATGGCGGGGTTGCTCAGTGATGAGCCGGTGCTAGAAAGAAAACCATTTCCATTTCCACCTAGAGACACAACAGGGATTTTCGAAGCTTCTGCCTTTTCCAATGCCTTTTCAAGCTCTTCTTCTCGCCGCAACTCAGTGAACTGCCCATCCAGAGACTTGGCTGCTGAAAGCCATGCAAGAACGATGACAAGGAGAACACCTCCCAGGTATGGAGTTGAGTTCGCAAGCGAACCAAACGTGAGTATCATGAATTGCTGTATCAAAGCTCCACCTGATTTCCCTAATGGATTGCAAACCACGTCAATTGCTGCCTTGCCTTTCACCTGTTATAACCATTTACAACCACCATTGTATACGCAGTTAGGAGGGCAGATACTTATAAAGTATTCAAAATGAAGCCTAGAGTTTGAAATAACAATATTTTACATGCAGCAGTTTGGATTGATTTGATGGTTATGACTATGAATCATATGAAAATTGCGTTTCAGAAGACCCGGGACCCCATGAACTCTTGGGTTTTCTTAGTCAATATGTGGAAAAAAGAACTAATTCAGTAATTTCCTGGAATTATATCCCTATCCAAACATGACATAATTTCATCAACATTTGGTCTCACAAGTAATAGATCGCTCCCACATGTGGTTCCGGACTTTTATATTCAGATAACTTTTGCCAGATATATAGCCAGAAATAACCGAAAGTGACAAGAAAATCATCAACCAAAAGTGATAATAATGAAAATAGGAATATGAAAATGGGATGATTGAATAGTCATGGAAACAAAAGTATAAAATTTCCTTTCATATACTACGTATAACTTTTACAACCAGGCTCACCCAGCGTTGGCTATAAGCTTTTTGCGACCTACGGGCGAGATAATATTTTTATTTTACAAATTCATTTGCTGTATTTCCTAGTTCCTCCAATAGGAAGTACAGAGTTTATGACTTCACCAAATTAATTACTAACAGATTTTTCCTCAAGCCGTGTTTAAATCTTGAGGAATTCTAAATATTAATAGAATGAATTGTTAGAAGAGAAGTCTTTAAACGCACCTTTGTGTCCTCATCTAAAGGAATGTATGCCATTTCCTTACAAGGATCAAACAAGCTGTACTTTGCACTCTTACTGAAGATGTTCTGCAAGGCACCCACATATACAGCTGCTAGAAGAGGAGTCATACCAAACTTTGCAAGAGTAGGAACAAGCGGGCCTCCAAACAGAATCAAGGAGAAGAACCCAAATCCGGTAAGGAGCAAAACTGTTGGTGTTATCTTTGCAGCCACTCCCCAACCATATTTGTCAAACACCCATTGGCTTAACAACATCATCGTAAAAGTTGCAATTCCAGTAGCAGTTGAAAAATCGCCCATGAAAGATGAATACTCATTGGGGCTTGGGAACTACAATAATATGTGCCACAAAGCGAAAATTAGCAAAACAATGTTTGATGGAATCACGGATATGAACAAATGACATCAAAGGAGTTTTTTCTGATTTGTAGTCCTTTCTCCTTTGACTATTGTGACTAGGACATTTTTGTATCTGTCTTTCAAATGTTTCCACTTGCAGTCCTACTCTAACAATTCTTACTATTTTCATTGAAAAAATTGTCCTTCCAACTACTTTTTGGGCCTTGCACAGGTAGAGGACTAAAAGTGGAAGGTTTCAAAAGTGGGTACCAAGACTGTATGTCACAATTGTCAGGTATCTGTATATCACAGATACCTGACAAAAGTATAATAGTCAGCGGACTAAAAATGGAAAAAAATCACAACCAAAATGCACTAGGATTTCTAACTTCTTACCTGAGCTTTGAGCTTTGACTTCCAGGTAACCTCGACAAGGTTAATACTAATGCCATATGCGACCACCAATGTGGCAAGATCCCTAATATATTTTGAAGACACCAAGAACTTCAAGCTCTCCATTGTTCCCATCTTAGGCTTGTCCTGCAAAAAGGAATTAAGTCATCATAATGAGTAGATACAAGTAAAAATACCACAAATTGATACTCTACTAGCTACTGCAAAGAGTTCAACTGACCATACCTTCTTCTTAAGACTTCGTGACGGCAGAGAAACATTATGATTCACCCACCAATAAATAGAACAGATGGCAAGCCCCATTAGCACCACGATACTCATCATTCCTCTTAGGGAGAGGGCCCAACCATCAACTCCTGGACCCAAACTTTTTCTCAAATTAGAGAAGTACTTCACTGTACGACCAGAGAAAATAAGAGCCACATTTGCGCCAAGTCCAAACAAAGGATAGAATTTTTTGGCTTCATCTACGGTGGTTATCTGTAACAAAGTGACCAAAACTGTTAACCGAGACAACATACTTATAGGCAAAAGTTTGAGGCATTGGCCAAGAAAGAAAGCAAAACTTCATCATGTAAATAACAATAAGAACACAAGGTAAAAATGATAATGTAGCCAAACCAACAAATAAGCTAAAAACATAAGAGTGATGATCTTACATATGAGTAGAAATGTGGAGTATGTCCAATTCAATTGCTCAACAAGTATTATGACAAGAAAAAAGACAATAAACAAAATGTGAAAGTGTAAACCTTCATATTTCATGTAATCAAGAAATCAAGTGCCTTTACTTCCATCCAAAAATGGCACACAGAAAAAATGATAGGTCAGGTAACAATTAGAGAAATGGTGCTAAATAGGAGCTTAACTTCCCGTATGTAATTAAATAAGACCTTGACTTTTTTAACTCCTAAATAAGAACAATTTTTTCCGCGTTTCCAAAATTGCCCCTGTTTTCCCGTCTGGCCTTTTCCTAATGCACCACAACTATCTCTCGGCAATAGCCTCGCCTAATCATCTCTCTCCTTCCTCCACAACTAAGCAAGGCAGATCACCGTCAAAATAATGGAGGTGCTGAGCTAAAATGGTGTTGCAGCGGTGCGGTAGTATTTTTGGTGTGGCTGTGTGGAGGTGCGGCGGTGCGGCTGAAGGCCCTGCTGCGTAACCTGCGTTCTCTCTTCTCCTCTCCTCCTCCTCCTCCTCCTTCTTCTTATTCTTCCTCCCCGTCCTCTTCTTCTTCTTCTTCTCCTTCTCTTCTTCTCTTTTAAATCTGGGACCGATTTTCCTATCAGGTGGATTCATTTCAAAATTGTGACATTGTTTTTATTATTGATAAATGATATCAACATTGTCAAACTATTTGATAGTGAAGCAAAGAAATAAGGAATGTATTTTATTGTCATTGACATTCGTATGACATTCTTATGACATTGTCATTAACATTCTTATGACATTGTCATTGACATTCTTATAAAATTGTCATTGACACTGACATTGTTTTTTATTGACATTGCTACAACATTGACATTGTTAAGACATTGACATTGTTAAGACATTCTGATGATTTTCACTTTATTTTGATAATATTTAAAGTATAGTGACATACATAGTGTCATTATTTCACGATTTTAACATGTTTTGACGTAGCACTGTAGCAGGACATAAAGAAACTGAAAAAGGAGAAAGGTATGTTTTTGCGCAGAAGATATGTTGAAAGAAACTAAATTGATCGGAATTTCGCCCGAAATCGTTCGGAATTGGTTTGAATGACATTGTAGCCTGATATTAATTTCGACGAATGAGTCTTTGAGCTTCGCCAATGTAATCCGAGCTTCGACGAATGAGTCTTTGAAATTGATGAAGAAAATCGATTGGAGCTTTTTGTTGAAGATTATCCGAGCTTCGACAGCCATTGGAATGGGCTGAAGACGGCTGAAGCTCTCGGTGTTCTGCGAAGTCGGTGGATCGCGATTGAGTGAGGGGGTTGGGGTTATTTTTGTCCGTGCAGATGCAAATAAGTCCTATTTAGGGTTAAAAAAGTAGGAGGTCTTATCCGTATACCAAGCCCATGTTTTACTCCTGTTGGAGTCTTTTCCCCTAACAATTAAGCAATTTGAAAGTTTCAAGTTTTAAGTATTACTACGAAAGATATCATACATCAAAAGGAACTAGCAAAGGTTCAGAGATAGTTTGATAGATTAAAGAATGACTGCAGATCGCAGAATCAGCCATACCTATCAATTGACATTTTCAAAGCAATAATCAAACAAGAAAATTAAAAATCGAACAAGGTTGAGCAACAACCAGACAAACCAAGCATCACTACAAACCAAGAACTGCTCAGTTGAGCTTGTACTCTATAATGATGTCCCATGTAGTCATGTAGATCACAGATATAAAGCTGAACTTGTTATGCATAAGAACATGTAGGCACTTTCTGGATGAGTAAAATCCAATTTCAATATAAAAATACCGCCAATGGATGACTAAAAACGCTTTACCTGATTAGCGAACCCCCAGAAAAGGACTGAAACCACCACACTTCCCCAAAGCTCAGCCATGACATAGAACAGGCAGAAACTCCAGATCCTCAAAATAGCAATCGGGCCAAGGAACCTCGGGCCCAGAATGTTCAAAAGCTTATCTGCAAGAGCTGTGGGATGGAAATAATTGCTGAGTGGATACAAAACGAACCCAAAAGCCCCAAAGAAAGCGATGAAAGGCAAAATGACAGTATAGAAGAGAGCCTGCTTTGACAACACATTGGCCAACTTGGTGTACAACAGCATGAACCCTATAGCCATAGGCAAATTCACCCACGTTTTCAAGAAAGGAATAATCTCCGCGCTCGACCCTTTGGCCGTCACCACCAATACATCCTTGGTGTCTCTTAGGATTGTATAATTAAACAGAATACAAAAGAACATCAATCCGAGGGGGACAATTTTCTTCAGAGTGGCCAGCTCAACGCCCATAAACTTAGGCGGCTCTGACAAAGCTTCTCCGGGAACGGGCTGCCCATCAGCTGAAGCTGCCGCAGCAGCCTCGGCTTTGCAGATGAAGGGGTATCCCCCCCTCTGAGCAACCAGTGAAGGCTTCGCGACAAAACTTTGAAGTTTCGGCAACCCGTTGACTGATAAAGAAAGCCCATTGAGGGTTTTTGCTTCCAAAGCATTTGTATTGTTGAATCTGTATCTTAGTCCTCCTTGGGGCAGTGGGTAAAAAGCTCTGAATTTGGGATTCGAAGGTAGAGATAGATTCCCTCTGCTTTGTAGGACGGCGTCCATGTTTACACGCTCACCACTCCCTCTGTTTCTTTCCCTCTGTCTGTCTCTCTTGCAGAAATCCTGTCTGCCTCTCTTGCAGAAATCTTCAAGATTGGAAATTTAAGAGAGACTGAACAAGAGAGAAAGAAGATGACTAAGAAAGAAGAGGATGCAGATCCGGCAGATTGAAGAATGCAGGAGATTACACATACAAAAGTTTAAATATAAACAGCCCAGCTACCATACCGTGCACCCCTGCTCGTTGGGACTAGGGAGAGAGTGAGCGACAACGTGAGAAGAAAGAACAAAATTCGCGTACTATTGAGATGCTTGGTTATTTTTAAATATATTACTCCCTCAGTTCCGTATTAAATTTCTCACTTTCCTTTTTGGGATGTCCCTTATTTAAGTTCACATTTCCATGGTAGGAAACAAAACAGTGCCAAACAATGTCAAACAGTGTCCAAACAATGCACTCCACAGTAAAATCAAATTTATTTTCTTAATCTGTGTGAAGTCAAACTGGGAACTTTAATAGGGATCGGAGGGAGTATTAATGTCGTAAATTGTACTACGGAATTGATTTGGCTTAATTTTGTACTTGCGTACTTCGTATATTTTCAATTTCGTCCTAAATTTATTTATAAATTTGACTTTTTTTGTCAAACAGTTTCGTTTTATTCCCTTGATTAGGATGTCAATTTTTAATTATATTTTAATTTGGATTTTATAACTTTGAAGAGATTTTAATGAAAATTATGAATATGAAAATTTTAATTATAAAAAGTTGAATTAATTATCAATAGGGAGGATTGACCTTTATTATTGGTCGACCAAAAAATGTTGACTTTGAAAAACAAATTGGGATGAAAGTAGTACTTTTTTCGTCCACTAAAAATTGCTCAAGTTTGATCGACATGGTGATTAATACTACATAAAAAATGTATGGTTAAAATATATGCAGAGGAGATAAAATTATGTAACTTGAAAGTTCAAAAGAACTACTTTGTAGAAACTCTACCTTCTAAAATATACCAGTACAAATTAGTAAACTAAATCGTAAATTGCGCAAGTATCTGTAAGACTAATTATTTTTATATGTGCAGTAGGTAGTTAGACCAGACTAATGGAAACTAAACTTTATAAGCAACATACAAGTAACACTTAAAATTTGTAGATTAGTATAATAAAATAAGAATTGATATAAAAATAAAGTGTAACATTAGTGAATACATTTTAATATAAAAATGTAAATTTTTTTGCTTTGAGTGACTCATTTTGTTTACATGTTGCATTACGGTGACAAAAAGAATAGTCCATTAGTCATAGGGCCTGTTTGGCACTCGGCGGTTAGCGGTTAGCGGATAGCGGATTTTATTAGCGGGTAGTAAATAGCGGATCCGATCGGTGGATTTGATCAGCGGATTTGTTTAGCGGGTTGCAGAAAAATGTTTGGTAAACTAGCGATTTGTTTTTAGCGGTTAGTATGAAAAAAGACTAAAAAAGGACATTATAAAAGTTTAGTATGTTTTTTTGTTTAATTTAAATTAGCACTATACTAATTTATACGTACATTATATCTGTTAGTTTAACATTAAAATTAACTAAATAATAATATAATAATAGAATTTAATGAATTCATAAGCATTAATCCTTTCAAAAAAAGAATTCATAAGCATTAATAGAAATCTAAAAATAGGATACATATCTGCAGAGTATTATATACGAAGTATCCACGTATTCACAGATTTCGATACCGATTGAAATCAAAACATAGATTCAATGGATTGTTCTACAGGAGAGAGTAGTAATACACATGTCTATTCAAGAATAATTTGCAAGAGAAACAAACTAGTGAGGAGCATCGAATGATTGAAAAGGCAAACGGTCGCAGGCTGCAGCAGAAAGACAGATGGGCAACCGTGGAATTCAGTCTGTGTTCCAACCCGCCAAAGTTGAAACGCTACGATTAGTAGCGTCTTCGTTTTTTGGAGGTTTCTTCCAAAACGTTGAGGCCAACCTCCATTTGCCACACAGGAAAAAAGCAACGATTGCTATGGTTCAACACGCTAAAATGGTCAAACACGCTAATATTTAGCTAAAACGCCGATATCCAAACGACACCATAGTCTATGTTTGATTTTTGGCGGTACGTTACTTACACGCGGCTAAAACCGGCTTTTCTAGTTCAAAAAATCATCTTTTTGTTGAAAACCTCATAATAACTTTAGTAAAAAAAATTGTGTATGCGTTTTATTTTAGTTTTAGTTAACATGAGGCATTAATTTAATTCAAAAAAAAGATGTAAATCTAGTGTATTTTAGTAATTAGACAATCATCACTTGATATTTTGAAACCAGCTCCTGAAATAAGTTTTAGAACTTAGAAAGATCTTTCCAACGAGATATTAAACGTTTTCAACTCAACAGGATAGAGCAAGATATGATCTAATCAAATTGTACGCACATTTCATCCTCTTGAGGGCTCCAACATGGATCGTACGGTTAAACGGGGATCTAAATTTTAAATTGGAAGAGTAGGCCCTATTCTCATTAATTTAATTCGGCACTTCATTGTCGTATTGCATCAATGAATGGGCGTGGGACAGCTGAAAAGAGCGTGGGTTGCCATGTCAACAATACGCTACCGTGCAAATAGCATCTCTTGCTTTGCCCAATGCGCCAATCCAATTAGGTTCACTGAAGAAGACGAAATGATAATTTGTATAAAAACAAATACTCCGTATACAAGTTGTCATGAATGTAAAAAAGTCGATTTGAATTTTCCAAATAGATGTACTATTTTTTGGTCCAGTAATTATTTCCATATTTAGAAAATACAACAAATTTGGATATTAATAACTCATTAGGAGTTCTGGATGAAGCGGTTGTTTGGCTGATTCTACTGATTTATAAAATAATTATATGTAAAATACATTTTATTAATAAAATAAAGAAAAAACTAGGGATGTCAAAAAAAACCGACCCGCAGTGACTCGCCCTGGCCCGAGACATTTGGGACTGGTCCGGTCCGGCCCGTCTTCCAAATGGGGTGGTGGGTCCACCCCGCCCCGCCTATACAATGGGGCGGGTCCGGATATTAGTATTGACCCATGCAGCTCTGACCCGCCCCGACCCGACTCGCTCAATACATAAACATACATATTTTTTCTTAAATTATACTACAAATATACTTCAACATACATATGTGTGTATACAGTAAATCATAAATTCTTTGATCTTATAATATATTAATACATATATTAGAATGAGATGAACGACGGATTATCAATGTCTTCTTTATATATAGTATTTTAATGCATATGTTCAATTATTAGTATAATTTAATAGATTAACTATTCAAATCTGAGTAATTTTTCCTTAATTTTTGAAATTTTTAGGGTATCATGAATTTGATTTAATATATTAATTTTTAATTATTATTTATAGATAAACTTTATGTATATTCAAATGGTAACAACTTGCCACAAATAAAAATACATACTAACTAATTAGGTTACGGCGGGGCGGACTCGCCCCGCATGGGGCGGGTCATGGGTCAAAAAGTTTGGACCCGTGCAGGTCACGGGGCGGGGCGTACCCGCCCCCCAAGTCACGGGGCGGCTATGGGTCTTGCAGTACCCGCCCCGCCCCGACACATTGTCATGCCTAGGAAAAACTATATATGTACAAATTATTTCCATATTCTATTGATTTATAAAATAATTATATGTAAAAATACATATAATTATTGATAAAAAAGTTGGTTGATAAATCAGATATGTCAAAAAAAAAAGTTACCAAACGGGCCCTAAGAGTCCGAAAAGAGAGATAGTTTGGTGTGTCTCAATTGTAATAGCTCTCGTTCATTTAAGTTAATAAAGTTTGGCAATTTCTTTTCAAAATAAACAAGGTGGTTGGGCTCCATAGTGTTTACTACCTTCATCCCATAATTTACTACCGAAATAAAGTGGCGAGCGGATTAAGAAAGTGGGAATTGTGTGGTGGAAAGTTGTGCAGAGGAGAGAGAAATGTTGTGAACCACAAATTCTTTGTCAAAAAAGGAAAGGGAAATTCTTTTTGGGACGGATGAAAAGGGAAAGTTGGAAGTATTTTCAGGGACGGAGAGAGTACAATTTTTTCAATTATAAATTTATAAGAAATGTGGTATGCATTTTCTTCGTTGCAACGAAAATTTTGTCTTTTGTCTTTTTTAACAAGAAATCTCAGCGTCCATCTTTAATCATGTAAGATTTAATTTATATATAGCACAAAAATGTGTTTAATCGTATCAGTATTTTAGATTTTAATGCACCAAATCCCCCTGTGATATGAAAATCCATCGCATTAACCTCCTGTGATTTAAAAAATGCGTCAAAATCCATTGTGTTTTAAATAATTATGCGCAAAATCCCTTCTATGAACAACTTCAATTGTCAAATATAAAAAAAAATAATTAACACTTTTGTATGATTTAGAGATTTTGACATATTTACTTGCATGTTCAATTAGAATATTAGGAAAAGTGATCTCAAAATCATTAAATTTAATCATAAAAGGGGTTCTGTGCATTATTAATTAAAACACAATGGGATTTGATGCATTTTTCAAATTACAAAGGGTAAAAGCGCTGAATTTCTATATCACGAGGGGGTTTGGTGAATTAAACTCAGTATTTTAATACTGGGTATAAGATACTGGGTATATGATTGAAATAAGAAGTTGTTAATATTTTCAACTTTCATGTTAGAGTTGAGAGTATGATTGTAGGTAGTATGGAAGTGGCCTAAATGGGAAGTGGACCTTCCATTCCACACTCTTGGCGAACAAAATATCTTCTTCAGGACAAAACGCATGACATTATTGTCCAATTGAGGGTGACACGTGACATGTGATTCTATGTATTTTAAATCATTGGAAACAGCTGAATTTTGGGCCGTTTTTCACTTAATTCATCGTATAAATAAAATTGATTCTATGTTTATTGTGCACCGTCGAATCTAGGGCGGACACGACAGCCGCCTCAATAAAATTATGGCGTGGATCGGTCCACCGTGCGTTAGATGTGCCGATCCCGAGATGGTACAGTTTCATATTAAAAATTGCAAATCATTTTATCTCCTTCATCTCCTCTGTCCCTTCATCTCCTTCGTCAATTGCTATACCTACTTGACGTGCATCTGTTCTACATCAAAACAATATATTTCCTCCATGTGGATCGTTGGGCTTACCGCTACACTAAAAGCAATCGTTGATGGTGCAGCACGCTCCTCCCTCTTTATAGCACAAGTGACCTTGAC